GTGGATGTGTGGATGCCCGTGGTGATGGGGAGAAGAAGGCAGACGGCGGGGATGAGACGCTGCTGGGACACAGAGGGGTGGAAGCATATCGTTTTATGCTTACGTCCAGGACAAACCACACACACACACACACACAGAAGTACGCAGGGGAGGAGAGTAGTGGGAGGAAGTGGTGAGAACGTAAATAAATAAAATAAAAAAAAATAGACGGCTAATGAGCGAATAGTAATAACGCTGGTATGCGAGGTCACTGGGTTAATTGGAACGCTGAGTGGGAGGCGTGTGTGAAGCGAGTACTTTTCTCTACGGGGTACGAAGTTTTCTTGGTTTTATGTACGTAACTTACTTGCCGTCCTGGCGCTTACCCAACAGGAAAGGAGGGGGGCCTTTCCACTGGGCCTATTCGTTGCCGGCTCGTTGCTCCCCTGCTTGGGGGGGGGGGGGGAGGTGCAGTGGGGTGGCAATGTCCTTCCCACCACACCTCCGCCCTGCTACTTCCGCGTGCAGTGGGGCGGTGGGTGAGTGGTGTACCCACCTGCAGCTCCAGCAGCAACAACAACGGCAAATATATATTTTAAAGTTGTGCGTGCACGTGTGATGGAGGGTAAAGTGAAATAATGATAAAATGTGCGGTGGAGCAGACAAGAAGAAGAAGAAAAAAGCAAAGAAAAAAAGGCAAAATAAGGAAGAGGAAAGAAAAAGTTAATTTTTTTAAAAAGTTTGAATGGCGACGCTGATGGGCCGTAGGTTCATTAGTAGAATATTTCTAGTGTGTGTGTGTGTATGTGTGTGTGTTTCCGTGTTTGTTGGTATTCGCTTGAATTTTGTTGCCGCCACTCCGTTAGTTCTCCCACCCCTCATCCCCACCTTCCCCGTTTTATTTTCATATCTGATTTTCTGCTCTCTCTGTTTTTGTTATACCTTCAGTTACGTTTCCACTTTGGTTTTTGGTTTGCTTTTTTTCCAACATTGCCACCGCCGTTGTCGTTTTTGTTTTGTTTTGTTTTTTGTTTTTATCTTCATCCGTTTTTTTTTTTTTTTATGGTCGTTTTGCGATGGCGGTTTCTAAAACACCCCCCGGCGGCACCAGCACCATCAGATCGCGTTTGTTTTGTTTTGTTTTGTTCTTGGTCTTTGCGTTTGTGCCGATGGAATTCCCCCTCCATCACTCCTCCCCCCAACTGATTTTTTTTTTTCTGCGTGCTGGTGCGTGCTTGCTCCTTCTATTTGTTCGACTCGTGTCGCGTTTGCTGGCTACGGCTCCGACCCCCCTTCCGCTTTTTTTTATGTTGTTCTTGGTGTTTTTGGTGTGTGTGGGCTGGCGCCACACACCCGGGTGGGGCGGGGCGAGCCGAGGCGGATCACCCACACTGTGGGCCATCCTTATGTGCTACCGGAGGAGCGGGGCCTCCCACGAGTATTTTTGTGATTACGCGGGAGGCAGTGAATCTTGCATGCGCGTGGGTTCTTCTGCGGGTGGTGGGGGCTACCCTATGAGTGAATTCTGTTCACCCCATCACCTTTCCCTCCCCGCTCTTGTCTTCCGCAATGACCCCAACGAAGCGACTCGCTCTAACCAATACTCTTTCTTCTGTTTCTGTGGGATTTGTTCCCCCTTTTTTGTCGTTGTGTGTGTGCGTTTTTACGTTAGTCTGATGGTGTCTTTTGCTGCCACTTTTTTTTTTTTTGTCATTTGCGAATGCTTTCCTCTTCTCACACTTGGGCTTTACTGGGGGAGAGGTAAGGTATGCTCTTCCTGACTATTATTGTTGTTGTGTTGCACCTACGCAGCTCTGTGCTGCGGCGAGTTTTTTTTTTTTTATTGATTATTATTGCAGCACTCTGTCTGTGTCTGTGTCTCTCTATCTCTCTCTGTGTGTGTGTGTGGATGGGCGCATTTGGATGTGCGTGTGCCTGTCATTGTTATTTTTACTGACGCGGCTATCAACGCTGCGGGAGTACGTATGCACACCAGTCATGAATTGAAGTACCCTCTCCGCCGGGAGTGGAGGGGGCAGCCCTACACAAGACACAGACAGAGAGATAGAGAGAGAACGAGAGGAAGCAGGTGAAATGAATTCGGAGGAGGAAAAAAAAAGGAAGGAGGTAAAACGAGACGCATTTGATGCCGGACGGCATCTTCATTTATTTATTTATATATAAATATATATAAATATTTTTTGTACGGTTGTTGTTGTTGTTCTTTTTTTTTTTGCGCTGATTTGTTGTGGTTGCCATTAGCCTATGCGGCGCACGCCCTATTTTTATTTTTATTTTTTCCCCCTCCCCCCTTCTTCTTACTTTTCCCTCTTTTGCCGCATGCGTGCGGGTGTGGATGGATGAGGGTCGTTGGGCGCGCCTTTGGGTGAGTTATTTTTCTCCTCTTTCCTCTATGTATGTGTGCGCAGGGTTTTACCCTGTTCGTCTTTTTCTCTCCTCTTCGCGATTATATGTTGTTGTTTTGATCAATGATGTGCATGTTTCGTGCGCTGCTTCCTTGTCTGCTCCAACTTTTTTTGTTCGTCCCCAACTATATTTCTACAACGCGCATCCCGTGATTTTTTTTTTATCTTGTATGTGTTTTTTTTGTTGTTGTTGTGTGTTCTTTTGTTGTGCGCTGAGGCGCGTAGAGTCGTGGGAAAGAGAAAAGTGCGTGCGGCAGACGACTCACCCCCCTCCCCCCCACCCCCCCATC